CAATTAAAGGACTTGGCAAAGTGCCAAGGAGCCGCACGCGACACGCGCGCTTACGACGGATGTTATGAAGGACGGGTGCGCCGCAAAAAGGCATTGGGCGGAGCATGGACGAACTAGCGTGTTTCACGGTCCTGTATCTCCATTCCTGCGCATGTTTGAACGGGGAAACCGCTATGCTTCGACAGCTGGGGGGCTGCTAGTCACATACACCCTCAATGTGTGTGAGCGTACTATGTGTCTTTAAACAATACCAAATAAGTAATGTCCAGAATTATTCTTGCTGTCTTGTTCAAAGAGCATCTTTTTAGAGACCGCTTTGAAAAGGATCGTGAGGACGTGGACCGCTACAGAAAAGACCGACATGTGGAAGAAAGAGGGTATGAAAACCACCGAAGAGGCGCCATGAGAGGGGCAGTGAGAGGAGGTGAGAGAAAGTATTTTAAAGTTCTTGTGATTTTTTGAACGGTTTTATCGAGGTTTGAGGGCTCGGACCGCTACAGAACATGTGAAAACTTGAGTCAAGTTCCAATTCGATCAGAAGCTTGTTAAATAGCGTAACAATGAAGCGAGGTATCCACCTCGGCGTCACCAGCGGACGACACTTGTGGGATCATAGTGGTTTCTCTTGAGAAAATAGTCTCTTCCTCACCACCTAATTACCTAGCATAACTGCCGACGTTCCTCCTATGACGTGGCATGTTGACGTATCAGAAATCGCACTCAGGGCACTTGTACTGGGTGTTAACCTAACTTTATTGAAACCTTAGCGCGGTGGAAAAGGAATGGAAGAAGCATTCTCGATGATTGGATGCAGATGTCTGCTACTTTTTTTTTCTTTTGCTGTGTGCAGATCAGGGACGGCGGACAAATCTGTGGATATACAATGCGAAGCATAATCATAGTTCCACCCATGTAATCTCACAAAATCCCGTCTTACACGACGTTTTCAAAAATGTCCCATACAAAAAAATGTGGTAATTACCAATACCAACATGCCAACACCAAACACTAACTTGAAAAACAATTTTTTTCGTCAATTTTTTCAAAAATGGTCGTTCTGACAATGCAGCAAAATGATAGTTCCACCGAACAAATCGAATAATCCAACAACAAGTGTACAACAAAATGAATAAATTTTGATCCAGTAATCTAACTCTATTTCTCCGACTAAGTTGGAAAATACGGTTGCCCATGCTCGATTAGAGATTTTCAATAGGCTTTCGGCCGACATGGTGCCATGCATCAATGATTGACTCCCTAAGCTCACGGACATTGTGGAATTGTGCATTACTCTCATGGATCATACGCACCATGAAGCCCCTCACATCCTCGATTGGGTTTTAGTCGGGGCTACTCGCTGGCCAGGGCAAAAGAGCGGTTTGGTGACAACTGAATCACGCTCGAGTGCTTCGACTGTCATGAACTGGTGCATTATCCTGCATGAAAACGGGACTTTCTTGCTGATTTC